CATTTTGCAAATGTTATGCTGTCATTGTGCAGATGACAATGTGTACATATAATCCCTGAATTCGCGGAAAGATCCATGTGCAAATCCTTCCTGGGAGAGTCAAAACGCAAGTATCAAAATTATGGCAACTGAAAAGAGTGAAAATTTACCAGCTTCAGTGTTGCTGATAATATGACTAGAGGAAGGGTTTGCACAAGATCAATGGAAACCAATATTTCCAGCCTACGCCTACATTTTCTAATCCACAGCTCCTTAAAAAAAGAGCAATACCGTACAGTTTGCACGAGATGCCTTTCTCAAGGCTTCATATTAGAAAATATGTTGTGTTTTCTAATATTTTAGTGACAGGAACATTGACTAAAGTAACCTACTTGTTGAGGCAATTCAGCACTGACCTACAGGGGATGGTAAATGAATTCAAAAAAGGATCACTTGAAAGCGATTGAGAGCATAAAGATGACTTTTGGGGGACTTTAAAGCAAAATCTTGCTTTAAAATTGAAAAATCTTTCAATATAACAATTAATTTTTCTTGAATAAGGTAAAATAAATTGTTGTTGGCTGGTTTAGACACAAAAAGGCATTGGCTGTTGTTTGTCCATCCATACTCAATATGTACTGCCAAAGAAATGAATGTCAGTGTTAAACAAACACCTTTTCTTTTGGCAGAGTACAAATTGATTTTGTACCCAAACTGATGAGTAGTAATAAAGCGCACTGAGCACACAAAATATTCACAAAACTTACAATAGCAAGAATAACTAGAAAATTGTGTCTTCCCAGAAGTTATTTGCACTAGGTTATCACAGCCAATTTCTTGATATTCTGGCCTCATCCCACTGCAATTGCAAATGCTATTCCAAGTGATTACTGACATTTGTGAACTTTCAGACAACATTGTAGGTTGAGCAGTCTCCTAAATGCTCACGAAGAGAGATGAAATAATATTCATATGCATAACCCCAAAGTCACTCATACACAAGTACACTGCACAAATAAAATATCTCAGCTTACTGTATCATCATTATCATCAAGATTCGCTAAAACTGAAGAAAAGGTAATAAATATGTGATCAAATGGGAAAATACAGTTAGTTCATTTTCTTGTACAGGTCATAGTGGGCATTTTATATGAAAGCAGCATTTGCAGTCAATGAAAACTATGTCATCTTTATAGGTAAATTATCTGGAAGGTCCTCTGCATCAAGTTCACTTTTAAGGAGAATAGATGGTCGACTTGGTAAGGCAGCATCCTCTGCAATGTCCTCAGCAGACCTCTGAAGTCCACCATGGTCTTCACTCTCTTCGACATCATCCCAATCACTAGCCAACTCAGCCATTTTCTGAGTAGGGGGTCCTGTGTCTTGCTGATCGGACTCAAGAGCCATAGATGTGCTGTTTTCATCAGCAGAACATTCTACTTTGGATACAGGCATGGAAGTTATTACTGAAGCACTTTCTGCCATGCTGCTTGATGGCACCATAGTAGGAATACTTTGTACACTACTGCACACTGGTGTTATAACCATGCCAGATTCACCCATAGTGCTGGTGTGGACTGTTGTTGGCATTGTTGGCACAGCAGAGACAACTGAAACAACAGCACTGGTAGGCACCATGTTCATAGAAACTGGCACAGAAGTTGCTTGCATAACTGTTCCATTTTCGCGCACAATCCCTTCACTGTAGGCATGATCAGTAAGAATCATTGTGATTTCACCTCCACTGTGATCTTGAATGTGGCCTTGTGGAATTTGCATCATAGCTGTTTCCATCAAAGGGTTGCCTGGTTGTTGGGGAACGGTATGGTTCACTATAGATCCATTGGCATTGACTGTGGTGATCGTCATAAGGCCTTGTTCTGATGTGGAGACAGCCACAGGTTGCTGTAAACCTCCAGCGGTTGTGTATTGCACTAACTGAGATAAGTGCCCTGGTGCATACGCACACACACCCTGGCTCATGTCATTGGTCATAATCTCAGGAACAATGTACTCATGAACTTGTCCGGGAGCGCCTCCAGGTCCGGGAATCTGAATCAGTTGGTTTTTATCCACTACAATAAATGTCTGAGGCTGGCCTTGATCACTCACAACCATAGAGTCGCCAACTCCTAGGCTAGCTGCAATACCACTGGCAACATTGCTCAAAGCTTCTGCTTCAGTTGATGGCATTAGAGCCTGAAAATTTTCAAATAAATTTAGTAAAAACTATATAAATGAGGAAAAAACTAACACTTAATAAGGAGGAGTCTTACCTGATTGTTATCTGTTAGAATAGTGACGCCTGGGGGCAGTATATAAGTAGTCTGTGGCTGTGCATTCATGCTTGCTTGTTGGTGTACTTCCGATTGGATGCTGGGTTGGGCCTGAAGGTGCTGATTAAGCTCTTCCTGCTGGCTATGGGCATGCTGATGTGGAACCTGTTGCTGTTGTGTTTGTTCTATACTATGCTGTTGATGATGAACCTGGACTTGAGGCAATGTTTGATGCTCCTGACCAATATTTTCTTCAGGCAATTGGGAAACATGAGTTTCTATTGTCCTTGCCGGGACCAAATCCATGTCTTCCAAAAGTTTCAAATTTGGGTGATCAGTTCGAATGTGGTTTTTTACATTTAACTGAAGAGGAAATACTTTGGTGCAGACTGGGCATTTAAAGCTCTGAAAAAGAAAACAATAATAAAGCAAAGCATGAATTTAATGATAATTCGGTACACTAGTACTACTATACCGTGTGTCAGGAGTCACTGCAGCAAGCACATTTGCCTACCCACTCCACTCCTGGTCTCCAGGGTAGAAAAACCCGCAACACTGCTGTGTCATAGATCTGACACACGGGACACAGTAGTACATGATTTCTGAACTTTAACAAAGAGTACTAGCACAAACCTTTTTCCTTGGATTACATCGTTGACTGTTTTCAAGATGAGATTGAAGAGTAGAATGAGACTTAAATGATGCATGGCACATGCTACATTGATAATCCTTGTTATTCATGTGGATGTTTTTATGTTTAGCAAGAAGAACTTCACTCAGAGCAATATGGTCGCATTGGTCACATTTGGGAAACTTGCAGCTAGGAGGTGGTGGTACACCATGAACCTTGTACAAATGGTACAGTAATAGGTTCCGTTTATTTGCTCTATGACCACAATGTTCACATATCCTGACATCAATCTTGGCCTTGTGCACGTCCTACAATACCAATAAGAGCCAAGTAATATTGCAATCATGATTGTAAATAGCTTATATTAAAATTAACTATAATAAGGACAAGGTGGTCCACAGACCCGTATTTTATTTTGCGTAAACTGTATCACATGCAGGCACGTGGGCAGGTTGCATACTAGCGCATGGCGCCCGGGTGAGCAAGCCCACCCGCATGCGGTACAGTAAAGGCAGAATAAAGGTGAGTCTGTCGAGTACCCTGTATTAAATCCTACCTTTAAATGTTTACGATAGTTAAAGTACGTGTCAAAAATAATCGGTCTCTCAACATCACATGTGGAGCACAACCAGGGGCCCTCTCGATTTAAGACACCTTCTGGTGTTAAGGGTTCTTCAGCTTGTGCCTTGTTTCTAAGAGACTGATCAGCTTTCACCACCATATATGACACCTGATGCCAAATAGACATTTAGATATTAGATTATAAATAAACATAAATACATGTACGTAGGTAGGACACTTGTGTAAGGTTTTAATCTAGTTTAATCAACAATCATACCTTGGGTTTACTATCTCCTTGACCTCCTGATTTTTCGACACTGACAGCAGGTGAACCATCTTTTTGAATAATCTTTAGTCTGATATTTTTGTTATTCTTTACTAAATCTGGATATTTCTTCAAGACCTGTAAACAAAACAGACAAACACAAGGTAAGATAAGTTTGAGGTTAATTTTTAAAATTGAAGGCAAACTAGAAAGTAAATGTGGAATAAGATACCTCAGCAATTATTTTAGCATGATTTGTTTGCACTGGGGAGCCATCTCCCATTTTCTTTAATGGAGCTCGAATTTCAAATGCGTTTCCACCAACATCCTGTTTTGTTGAAACAGCAGCAAGATCAGGGACCGGCTACAAGAAATTATTTTGTTATAAAGATGCCACAACATACAGAGATAGTTAGCAGAAATGTCTGCAAAGTAAATCAATACCTCAGAGCATTCAGATTCTGATGATGGATTATCTATTAAAGATTCAGATACAGATTGGCCCTCTGAAGTAGCATCCCCAGAAGAGGCTTGAGGTTCCAAAGGAACTGATGTGGACGCCACAGCATGCACTTTAGGTTCCAAATGGAATCGTACATTTTTCTTAGGTGTAGTTTCTTTACTGTCAGGACTGTCATGAGCCTGAACCTGTCAAGTAATGAAATGTTGTTAGTATGGATTCCCTATTATAATCACACTGCATACTACAATTGCACAACAGTACGTCAGAGAAATTAATATTTGAGTGACGGCAACAAGAAGCCTACCTTCAGAATCGGTTTTGGATTATTCTGTTTATTTGAAGGGGTTGAGGGCAGAGACTGAGAATTAAGTAAGTCTCCTGTCTCATTTGTCATATCTTCACCTTCTTCCTCATAATCAGCATCGTTATCAGCAACAGGTAAAAAATCATCCAAATCTTCATTTTCTTGTTCTGTATCATCTGATAGTAAAGTTTTCCTTACTTCTTGTGCCTAAACAAGTCAACAGAAAAATGTAAACAGAAGTGTAAGACTTGATGAAACAAGTAAAACAATCCGATCAATAATTTTAGGTGAAAAATAAATTGAGATCAAAACCATGATAGCATTAATTATTCTGATAAGCACCTGAACATGTTCTTTTACTTCATCAATTTCAACTTTCATTTTCTTCGGTGTACAACTTTCTATTTGATTGGCTTGAGGTCTTGTTGATGGATTTCTTTTCAAACTAGATGACTGAAAAACTGACTCAAAAGTTGCAGCTGGCATAACCCTTTGCTGGGGAAGTTGCTGGAAGAAATAAGAAAACAGAAAAAAGTAAAAACATGATGCAAGTAACAAGAGTTAAAAGATAGGATAAGGTACACCTATCACCTATCAATTCATACCAGCAGTAATAAAAGTGAACGACGTTGAAATTGGTAGAAGGTTAAACTTACCACTAGAGGCTGAGAAGGGGATGGTGGAAGTGCTGACTGGACAATAGAGTTGATAGATTTAACAATAGGAACTGAATCATATGAAATATCATCAAATGTAGAACTATACAGAATGGGTGTAGAGTCAGCATCACCATCCTCAGGCCATTCAAAACGTGTTGGCTTAGCAGGTTCCTCTGGCTGTGCTCTTGGTGTGCTCCTAGAACACAAGAACGAAAAAAATAAATTAAAAAAATGAATTTTTTACACTTGAAGACACAAAGATTATGTGGGAATACTTTCATAATAGGACTTACACATTCAAAGAAAAACTTGATGATGGAACAGTCCTTTTCTTCCAAATGGGCAGTCTGTATAGGAGTATGGGAAAAAAATTAGTTTTTTGTAATACTGAATAGAAATATGATTAATTAAAAATGACAATAAGGTTACTTTTTGCCAGGAACAAAATCAGCAGCTTCATGATCAGGTCTTGAAAAGCGGGAGTTGATGGTTGGACTTCCTGAGACAGGTGATGGAGAATTTATAGGAACAGTAAGATGCTTAAGCTTCTGTATTTGTGGCTTGGGAGTAGTTGCAGCACCAACATGGGTATCCAGCAACTTAGTTAAAATTTGCATATTTAAAATCTTTGCAGTATTATATAGTCTTTGATGAAGTTCTGGTCTGAACTCAAGGCGACCAGAATACATAAAGCTGAAAAGTTTTGAATAGTTCATGTATAAAATCAGATCAGATTTAAATCCTTTTTCAAAATAAAAAATAATAATTAACATACTTGATGATAGGAACCACAACATCAGACTGGAAGGTAGGTGGTAACCGCATGTGATTTGAGGCATTATTCTCTTTTATTAATGTCTCGAAATATTCTGTACAAGTATTTAGCACCAATCGGTGAACCTAAATAATGCGAAAACAAATATTATTAATTGAAATCATAAATAAGTAAATGCATTAACATAACTATACCACCATGCTAAAAATATAAACTGACCTTTATACATTCATTGGTATGAAATTGTAACGTTAGATCAGTAAAATCTCCTCTGGTGTACAAAGCCTGAAGCTTCTGGAGAAAAAAGGCTGCCCAGTTGTCAACCTTTACCATTCGTACTCCATCCATGTTTGAGACGGAGAGGCTTTAATCACTTCTCCTGCAACATGAAACAATCATGATCCTATTAACCACTTATGTGGTAAATAACAAAATTCATTTTTCTTTCAAGATAAATGTAACAGGATTAATAAATTACATTTGAAAACAGGGATAAGAAATAAAAGGATATAAATGTAAACAAAGATGAGCAAGAGAAGCAATGTCCGCAAGGCAGTTGGTGACTGACCACTATGCAAGTGGTTGCTGTAGTAAGTGGAAAAATAAACAATAATAAAGAGCTTATACATAAAAAATGTACAGAATGCACCTGTACAGACAAAATACGTAATATCAAAGGAGAATTAGTGTTTTAACACAATTGACAGGTAAACAAACATCCTAACCTAAACAGTCTACTACAGAATTACTGGATTGAGATGGACGAGGAAGTAAAAGTAGACGATTAGGTTTTAAGTAGGGAAACAATATGTTCAGTTCTACAAGAACAAATATAAGTAAATACATTTTAATTGAAGAAAAACATTTGACACAAGTGTTCCATAGCCTAAAAGCAGACCACATCATTCAGGGCTGATGAACTTTTGTAAGAAACAGACTTAATGCAAGTACAAAAAAATATTTTTTTGAAGTAGGACTTTAATGCTAAAATAATAGAGGATCGAACAAAACGTAAAATATAGCTAAATTCAAAAGAAGACGTTTCAAATACAACTTACCAAACTTGCCGCCCCAGTGAAGCTACCTCAAGCAAGGTCACAAACCATTCATTTTGCGATTTTCATTCAATGAAGAGTGAACATAGTCACTCGGTGTTGTTCTGCCATCTTAAATAAATGCAAAAAAGCACAATCCCCAGTGTAAACATACCTTACTAGTATGCCCCTATGGTGCGGGTTTGGCCAGCTCCATCTCTTCTCGACGTTGTTAGTGACGAAAATTATTGAGCGTCAGAGTTCAAAATGCGACACACAGGTAGCAGCACCGGTCCTCAATTTTATGATTAACAAATTCAGCATCGAGAAGGAGAACATACAAGTGCAGTGCCTTTATTTTTGCATCCGATTTTGATGTAAGTAAGGACAAAATCGAAGAAAAAAAGTCAGACTACCGGGAGAAGCATTTTAGCAGAAAAGAAAATCTGTCGCCCTTTTCTTCCAAAATGGCGGCCTGCGGCCTTCGCCGTTCATGCTGGAAGGGAAGTTTGTGACGTCATGGATTTTGGGCTGTTCGTGGGGTCTCGGGAACTAGCCCTTTTAACGAAGAAGGGACAACCGGCAAAATTCGAACAGAAATTTTTACTCACCGGAATGAACGCACATTGCGCTGTCAAATATGATTTTACACTGTCACGTTTTGAAAACAAAGCTAATTTGTTTACAGCGTTTATTAGAGCTCCTCTTTAAGTGTTTTTTCGGGGGCGTAAGTAACTAGAATGAGAGCCGAATGGTGGCATCAGTGACGTCACAGGTTTGCATTTCTGCCTCCCGAATTCCAACCCGAATGCTGCCGGTGAGTTCGGCTCGCTCCGGCTCTCGTCCGGCTCGGCTCGGCTCCGCTCGTAAATAGCCCCCCCCCCCCCTCCCCACCCCTACCTGTCCGGCCCGGTGAGTTCGTGCTGTATAGTGCTGTGCTGTATGTATTGGTGTGTATATAGGCGATCGATCATCGATCTGATCTCTGATCTCCTGAAATTTCCTGTGTCCCTGTTTCTTCCAGTGCTAGGTTCCTCTAGTTCCACTCTTGCCTATTGTTCCTGCGATCCAGCTGCTGCTGGTTCAACCTGGAACAATGGCCAGCACCGACTCCAAGTCATTTTTACACATCTGGTGTGCCAAGCAAAAACTAAATGCTCCTCAGTTTGAAGTCAGACCGACAGGTACGATCGCTATAACCAAGTGACATAAATATGTAAATTCTTTCCTCTTTGAATTACAACACAGTAAAGGTTCAATAACCCTTTGTTGAGTCGATCAACTACTCACATTAATTAATATCCTTTTTGATTGTGCAGGTGTTAAAACGCGTCAAAGATTTATATGCGAGGTTCGCGTTCAAGGCTTTGATTATGTGGCTGCTGGAAATTCCACCAATAAAAAGGATGCTCAAATGAATGCAGCTCGTGACTTTGTGCAGTTCCTCGTTCGTCAGAATAAAGTGAATCCTTCCGAAATTCCTGATGATGTAAGCTATGCTTTTTCAACTTTCCATCAATAGTATTTACATGTGCAATGATCTTGTCTACAAATATAAATTATGAAAAATACGGATTAAAATTTTTTTGCCCCTGTTTTGCTTTCTAGATGGGTGCAGCTAGTGCAGCTGGTGGAACAACTAACGATGCCGCAGATGGCAGTGGAAACCCAGACCAACCGCAACCTCTGTTTCCTAATCGTCCTGTTTTTCAGCATGGTATGGGACCTCAAGATTTTGGTCAAGCGTATCGCCCCTATAGTGAAGGTGGTGGGCCTATGACGTACATTGATCGTATGGCAGAACAGAGACAAGTGGAAGAGGTATACTGTCATTTTTAAATTGTACAATGCTGTCTGCTTCTATTCTGTGTGTTTCATTTGTTGCATTATGCATTTATGACCTGCCCTCAGGCTGAGAATTTGGACATGAATGCTGCCATTCATGGAAACTGGACCATAGACAATGCCAAGTCAAAACTCCATCAGTTCATGCAGATGCACAGAATTTCAACTGATTACAAATATACCACTGTAGGTCCTGATCATACCAGGTGAGAACTGTGTGGTTTAAATTGGATTCTAATGGACTTAATAGAAAATAAAGGTGTAATCCAAGAGCAGATCCTTCAGCCAAGTCAGTTACTAGAGCTGAAGTGTCTTCTCTGACAGAACTCCAATCTAGGACAGATTTTTATGATTGCTTTTCAATCATTGAAATTTGTCAGCATGACACAGTATGATGTGTGTGTGTGTGTGTAACAGAACTAGATACTATGCTTCTGATACACACTCACATAGATGGCATGGCCTGATACACCATTGAACAACCAGCAATGCTCTTTTAATATGCTCTATTCTTGATCTTCCTAGTTGATCATGTAAAAGAGCAAGGTACTAAATCATGTTGAAGAAAGAGTGTTCTTGCATACTTATTAGTAGCAAAAATACTCAGAAATTTATGTTCAATTAGTTGAGAACTAATGAAGAAAATGACAATTTACTTCATGACGTGTATAGCTTGTCCAATTTTGTGATTGCACAAACTGTTATAATGTGTTCTAAAACAAGGGGTTTGTACTTTTAGAATCATTTCATTTTGATGCAGATTGTGTGAGCTGTAAGTTGGATAAGCGTTGATCATTTTTGTGTCATTTTTGAATAAGCAGGCTGCCATTGACAATGAATGATCAGTGGTGCTGGCTCCTAAACCACATATTTTGATAGATTCATTAGTTTTCAACTTTTTTGTTACACATTGGTTGTTTAATGGTGTTTCATTGTTGTGCCCTAGGTGTCTTGCATCAGTTTAATTTTTTATAAGTTATTCGGTAAGTTGATGTTAATTTACTTTTTAAGTCTCTGAAGAATACTTACATGCATGCATTGTTTCCCTTAAAACTGCCAATTGAGGCACCATAAATGAACTTCGAGATTTTGATGTCTCACTCTCCAACCCATTTGAAACCAGCTCCGGTGTACTTATACTCAAATTTTAACAACAATTTTCCAGGAGTTTTGTGGCAGAAATGTCCTTTCATGTGAAAAAGCTTGGACGAAGTAAGGCTTTTTCTTTTTATTCTTGCTTTTATGTTTTTTGGTGTTTTGCCTTAACTGTGTGTTCTGTTGTATTTTCGTAGTGATTACTGGCCGAGAGACTGGCTCAAACAAGCAGAGTGCTTCAAAAAGCTGTGCATTGTCTCTTGTTCGACAACTCTACCATTTTGGTGTAATTGAACCATTTTCTGGGACTCTGAGGGTTAAAGAAACTAATCAGATGAAACCCTATGATGTAAATGTATCTCCAGAGCTTATGCAGGGTGTAAAAGATGTTTTAGAGGGTTTGAATCTTCCACCAATTGAAGTGGTAAGAAAAGTTTAGTTGCTAACTTTTCATTATTTCTGCGTTTTAAAAAGCCTCTATCTTGAGTTAAAATTAATTTCAGAAACCTGATGAAAAAGAGGCCTCTCTTCTTACATCAAAAGTGCTCGATGAGTTTATTGCATCTGCACCATCTGCAGTTGGTGTAGTTTCATGGTCTCCTCCTGTGCCTAATTGGAATCCGTGGACTGGTTGTAATATAGATGAAGGCCCTTTGTCGCAAGTGGGTCACCTTTTATTTCTTATAAAACAATGCCTACTAGATCAAGCTGCCTTATATTTTTTATTCTGTTTGATTTCATTTTCAGGCAAATCTGGACCAAATCAGTGAAGACCTATATAATGAGCACAAACAACGTCTCCAGAATGATAGTACTTTAAACAAAATGATTACTGACCGCCAAAAGTTGCCTGTTGCTGTTATGAAAAATGATATTATGGATGCAATCAACAACAACTCTGTTGTTATAATACGTGGTAAGACTGGTTGTGGTAAAACAACTCAAGTCTGTCAATTTATTCTGGATGATTATATCCAGTCTGGACAAGGAGCCTATTGCAACATAGTTGTCACACAACCTAGGAGAATATCAGCTGTGTCAGTAGCTGATCGTGTCGCCAATGAAAGAGCAGAGGGGATGGGACAAAGCACTGGATACAGTGTGAGATTTGAGTCCTGTTTACCCAGACCATATGGTGGAGTCATGTTCTGTACTATTGGTATGTGATGTTTTAGTGCTTTGCACATTTGACTTTATTGATTGATTTTAAAGGGCCTATGTATTCTTCTGGCTTTCATTAGGTGTACTCTTGCGAAAATTGGAAAATGGCCTCAGAGGTGTGTCTCATGTAATAGTTGATGAGATTCATGAGCGTGATGTTAACTCTGATTTCATAATGGTCATTCTCAGAGATATGGTGCACACATATCCTGACTTGCGTGTGATTTTGATGTCTGCCACCATTGACACCACTCTCTTCACAGAGTATTTTAACAAATGTCCTATTATTGAGATTGCTGGTAGAGCATTCCCTGTTCAAGGTAAAGCGTTTTCAAAAAACATCTCAAAAATACCTCAGTTATTATTATTGTCTAATTAATAATAACATTTTTCAATTATCCCCCAGAATATTTCTTAGAAGACTGTGTAAGCCTTACAAAATTCATACCTCCTCCTCCCAAGCCCAAGAGAGGAGGAAGAAATAACGACAAAGATGATGAAGACAATGTTGGAGCTGATGAAGTAGAAGAGAACCTCAATTTGGCTGTCAGTGATAATTATGATGTGAACACAAAGCAAGCTATGGCAAAAATGTCAGAGAAAGAAATCAGCTTTGAACTTATAGATGTGAGTTATCAACCCTCTATCTATCTAGTCATGATTCTGATTTGTGCTGTAATAACTATTCTTCTGTTTGGCCTTAGGCATTATTGAGGTATATTAAGGCACAAGGGATACCTGGGGCTGTTTTGGTATTTTTGCCAGGCTGGAATTTGATTTTTGCAATCATGAGGTACCTGCAATCACACCCTATCTTTGGTAAGTTTGTTTCATTTCATTCCTGTGTTTGTAGCTCCACCTGTTTAACATTATTAAATGTGTCATTCCTGTCATCCTTTTAGGAGGATCTGGGTATGTGATAATCCCATTGCATTCCCAACTTCCAAGAGAAGATCAGAGACGAGTATTTGACCCTGTCCCAGACAATGTTACCAAGGTCATTTTGTCTACAAATATAGCAGAGACTTCTCTCACAATTGATGATGTTGTCTATGTCATAGACAGTTGCAAGGCAAAGATGAAGCTTTTTACTTCTCATAACAATATTACAAATTATGCAACAGTTTGGGCATCTAAAACTAATCTGGAGCAGCGCAAGGGCAGGGCTGGGCGTGTAAAGCCTGGCTTTTGCTTCCATCTTTGTAGCAGAGCTCGGTTTGCGAAACTTGATGAACATATGGTCCCTGAGATGTTTCGAACACCTCTGCATGAGTTGGCTCTATCAATCAAGCTGCTTCGACTTGGGGCAATTGGCCACTTTCTCAGCAAAGCCATTGAACCTCCACCAATCGATGCTGTTATTGAAGCTGAAGTTCTGCTCAGAGAAATGAAGTGCTTAGATAAAAATGATGAGCTTACTCCACTGGGCAAGATTCTTGCTAGGCTGCCAATTGAACCACGCCTAGGGAAAATGATGATTTTGGGAAATATATTTTTCTGTGGAGATGCTTTGGCGACTGTTGCTGCAAACAGCTCTACCATGCCTGATGTTTTCATCACGGGTATGGATAGACGACGCCTGTCATTCCAACAGATTGCTTTCAGTGGTTGTCGTTTCTCTGACCATGTGGCTATGATGAATGCATTCCAGTCATGGGAAGATGCAAGAGTCGGTGGAGAGCAGGCAGAGATAAGCTACTGTGACCACAAAGGCCTCTCGGTGCCAACCCTGCGAGTTACATGGGAAGCTAAGAATCAGCTAAGAGATTTACTGGTATCTTGTGGCTTTCCTGAGGAAACATTGTCACCACAGATGTATAATTATTCTGGATCTGATGCCAAACTAGACATGGTTGTAGCGCTGCTGTGTTTGGGACTTTATCCCAATGTTTGCTACCATCAGGAGAAAAGAAAAGTTCTAACAACAGAGTCTAAAGCTGCTCTGATCCATAAGACATCTGTTAATTGCAGAAATGATGCCACTTTCCCCTTCCCATTCTTTGTCTTTGGAGAAAAAATAAGGACTCGTGCTGTTGCCTGTAAACAAATGACCATGGTAACTCCAATACATTTACTCCTGTTTGGTTCTAGAAAAGTTGATGTTGTTGATGGCCTTGTAAGGCTTGACAACTGGTAAGAATTTTTACATAGTTATTTATTTGTATTTTAACATTGAATGCATATTATTACTGAAGTGCGTATTTTGTCCAGGATAAACCTGAAAATGGATCCAAACCAGGCTGCTGCAATCGTGGCCCTTCGACCAGCTATTGAGAGCCTGGTTGTTCGTGCATCAAAAGAACCTGAGCTTATTACAGAATTGACTCCACTCGATGAAAAAGTAATAAATATTGTTAAACAGCTTTGCAAGATAAATGCTGGTCGTCATGAGATGGACCCCATTACAATGGCTGGGTAGGTATAGCAGACACTGTGTTCTGTGTTCAGTTAAACGTGATCATCTTGGAAATCCCAAAATAAATTTTCTGTGGTCTGAATTTTAGTCCTCAATCTCGAAGACCACCTCGTGGAGATTTCAACAGAGGTTTTGATGGACCACCTGCAAAAATGGCAAGAACCGATAATGGTGGCAGTTTTGAAGGCTCTGGCAGCTTTGGTGGTTTTGGAGGAAGTGGCCACAGAGGAGGTCAAGGTTTTGGAGGGAGGGGATATGGAGGAGGAAGTTATGGAGGTGGTGGAGGCAGAGGATATGGAGGCGGAGGGTCCAGAGGAGGATATGGAGGCGGAGGGTCCAGAGGAGGATATGGAGGCGGAGGGTCCCGAGGAGGATATGGAGGTACTTAGCTGCATAACTTTATAAAATATCTATGTCTGAAAAATTTGTACCATTTGCACTGTTTGAGATCACAATTTCCTTCTTCCTCTTGACAGGTGGGAGAGGTGGAGGCAGCAGTTATTTTGGAGGAAGAGGCAGAGGCGGAGGTGGTTTTCGTGGAGGTTATGGAGGAGGTGGTTATAGAGGAAGTGGCAGTTACTAATATGTTTTGTGGTTTTCCAATTTTTTTGCGCACTCTTTGCACATCACTTAGAGATTGTTCAAAATATTTGAAATGTTACTGAAATGTAACACATGTGTGGGCCATTTTATTAATGAGCCATGGAATATAATTTTCCTTCCTGTTTGTTAATTTTATTTTCTTGATTTCTCTTAAGTTTTTTGATTATTTTGTCTGATTCCCCAATTTTGAGTGTATACATGTATGCATTAATTTTATATTATTTGAACATGGCTTGTTGGTTGACAATTACTTCTTTTAAGTGAAAAATGTACTTCGGACAACTATGTAGTTTCCAAGAAAAAGATATGAATAATAAAAACTTGAATGATATAAGCTAAGCTATGGATTTGTTTTTGGGGCACCTTCTCCGAATTAAGGCAAAGGAGGCCTCCCGTTGTAAAAGGGGGAAGGCCCGGACCATCCAAACGATTAGGATAGAGAGGTATTGGACGGTGTCTCCATCTCTGCGTACACATGACGAACTATTGCCTGTCTTCTGCTTTGATCAAGAGCTTTAATCTTTTAAACCACAAATAATTGCCATCTTGGGCGTCCAGTGCAGAGATACTCAGTCTAATTTCCAGTGATTCTATGGAGCGATCTTATTTGTTTGGGCTAGAAAACGACACACGTTTCCTGTTCCTATTCATTTAAGGTGCAAAATTATATTTAGGAAAGAACTTGACGTGCCTAGGGAACTGCGAGAAAATAGTTCTGTAAGGTTGGCAACATCGAGAATGAAGTGGGGGTGTAGTGGCAGCACGACTGGCTAGCAGCAGCTAGCAAGTAGGGTTACGGTACGAACGAAGTTACGCCCGTAGAACCGACGCCTTGGTGTGAACTACCGCGCCGAGCGCTCCGGCAAGCTGGTGGCCGAATTTGCGTAAGTTTAATTCGTCTTTATAGTGAAATCTACAGCGAGTCCGATCTCCGGGGCAGTCATTTCGGAGCCGGACGCCTCCGCGGGCCCGCTGGGCTTGGCCGGACAGGGCGGTGCCGAAGAAGGGTGTGACTAGAAAGGGGTGTGTCCGCTTCATCCCGTCGGAGAAGGGCAGCGGGGCGCACCCGAGCCTTTTGCCAGTCAGGCCCTTGTGCAGGCTCAGCCTGGCCCGTGCTAACTTTGGCCGAGTCCCGCCGGCTAATCCCGGAAGACTAGACTGGAGCGGCACGGACGGCCCCGTGCGTGAATTTAACTTTATTGATCCGAAAGGTGAGGTCATGTCCCAGTCGTCCATTTTGGGCTTAGCGTGAATGCTTCTGTCGGAAGCTATTGTCAGTGTTCGCCGCTTCAACGCCCCTCTCCCCATCCCGTGTATGTATGTGTGTGGGCGTAAGGTGTAGTTTTTGGCAGTGACTTGTGTTGGCTGTTCGTCGCACAGCAAAGCGGAGCCGCGGAGCGTCCTCTCCGATAGTGGGGCAGAGGGAGAGGGAGGAGGGAGGGGTGGAGAAGGGCGGCGCGTGTGGGGGTGGGGAGGGGCGGGGAGCGCGGAGGGGCAGGGTGGGGAGGAAGTTGCTGCTCCTGCCGTCGCCCGCCGCCTCGCCGTCGGCCGTCGGGTCGGACCGGGCAGTCAGTCTGCATTCGTTGTGCTGTCAGTTCGGTTCGGGCCCAGAGGCGTCTTTGCGAGTGGAGTCTGCCTAAGCGTCGGTTTGAAGTTTCAGTAGAAAGTGCTCGTTGGCATAATTGTGTGAAATGAGTACTTCCTTACGTTTGATTCAGCATTACGATTTTGTAGTGGCGTCTGCGCGCTGGTTTTGACGGGAGCTGAGTTAAGCGCCGCGTCCCGTTCGTTGACTCTTTTTGCTGGGCCGGCTGTGCCCCTAAAGAAATGCTGGCCCGTCTGGAAAAGTGAAAATTTGTGATTGACGTTTTGGATACGACTCTTGTGCTTGGATTAACTCTGCATCTCTAATTTGGACGGATTTGATACAAGGTAATGCTTGAAATTGTTTTAGGTTATGTTTAAGTCGAGGCCTGTTCCTTAATTGAAATGATCAGACATTTGTTTGTTAAATAATTTGTCATTAAAAAAAAATTAAACTGTAAATTTATTTGTAAGTGACCTTCTAATGCTTGTCTATTTGTTGGTCGGATTCCTCGATCAACCTGTGAACCCCACCCTCTTTTCTCTTTACTCCTCTTTTATTGCATGTCCATGCAAAGTTCATGTCAGATGTTGAACAGTACTCAGATTGTTGTTACCATTTACTAATGCCTATTTGATCAATTAATTTTGGCCTGTATTTAAAATTTTTATTGGAACAGGTTCTCTTCTAAAGATGTTGTGAAAAGTCTTAAGGTGTTCCCTTGTCTGACAAAGTAATTTTTTCCTGTAATTGTAATGATCCACTGCCCCTGTCAGGTGTGGACTGTATTGTATTTTTTAATTGTTTCATACATTGGTTGCTTTTGTTGACTAGTCACAAAGGCAGGCCTGTACTGTGGTATGTGGGACATAATTAGTCTGCTACCTTAATAATTTGAGCCCCCCTCATGCGGGGCCTCGGGGTGTCGGTTGTCTCTGCCGTCCCACGGTGGCTGCGGCATGGACAGCGAACGGCCTTTTAGCCCGGGAAATACCAGTTATCAACTCGGTGCTGCCCAGCCCAACGCCCCCGAGGACCCTGAGGGGGACGGGGCGGCGCGGCGGCCTGTCCGGCCAGGCCAGGGCATCCTCAGGAGGCACTCGCCCACAGTCCCGCTCGGCAGCTCCGCCCGTAAAACACGATTTAAGCACGCTCCCTCGTGGCCAGGTGTCGACGGGGCCCAGGTGCCCGACGCTGCACTGGTCACGTAGAGCGCTCGCGGGGCGAAGGGCCCGTCCTGGAGTCGCTCGTTGGTTGTGGATTTGCAGGCCGCCACCGTGCCAGCTTTTCCTGCTCGGTTGGCCTAATTGTGACCAATTTGCCGTCCACGCTGTCCACGGCACGGGCGGGGCGGGGGCGCTGTGCGCTTTTGGTGCCGTGCCGTCTGTCGGGCACTCGAGGCCGTGCCGTGCCGCGGCGGGGCTCTGGGCGGGCCGCCCTCGGCCTCCGGCAGGTGAATTTGGAGCACGTCCACACCGCTTTTACCATTCCAAATGAGTGGACGGCAGTAAGGTAGTTTTGCCACACGCCATCCTAATCTGGACAGAAGTTCTCTACATACATACATACCCTCTCAACCAGCCACTTGCATAAGCCACAACAACCACCACCACAACGCGACCAAATTTGCATAACGATTAATTTTTTGCCACGGATATTCAATTTAGTGGCTGCGAGACTCGTGGAGAGGCGACTTGACGGACTTGACATTCTCCACAATTCCCTCTCCCTAGTGCAGCCGTTTCAACCCAACCCGCCGAAGCGCCACGGGGGCGAGCTGCGAGGGTGAAGGGACTGCATCCTAAAAACTCTTCGCGCGAGCTGTACGGACGCTCCAGGGAATGTGCGCAGCGCAGGACCTACAAGTGGGTTGCCGGGTGGGATTCCAGGGGTACGGTAGTGGGCGGAGAGAGGTCAGGGGTCAGGTGGTGACCCCTTTCGGGGCATTATGGCGGGGGGTACGTACGCCGCGGTCCTTGTCCTGGAGCAGCTGGGCCGGGCTTTGCAGGAGCCCAGCCTCGCTGGTGGTCCAGACACCTTACAGGACAGGCGTGCCCAGTTTGCTGGTGGTGCTCGTGCCCTGCTCGTGCCCCTCACGCCTCCTCCGGCCAGCAGGGCCCGCCAGTGCCAGTCCTATCCGCACAACCAGCCGGCGGGGCGGCGCGGGGCGAGGAGGAAGGCCTCTGCGGCGTTGCCTGTCCGCGCCGCTTAACCTCAGCCACGTTGCCCGACTGCACGCCGGCCGGCGTGGTGCCGGCGGCAGGCAGAGTCTCTCGGGGAGGGAGCTGGGCGCCGCGGTGCGGGCCGCGGTGCGGGCCGCGGTGCGGGCCGCGGTGCCTCGGACTCTATCTCGGACTAGTGTGGGTCACTGAACAACAGCAAGACTTGACTCGTACCCCTGGTCCCTGGTCGATTGCGCTCCTTTCTGCCTACCAGGAACCATCATGTCAAGTGCCGTCGCAGAGGGCCTCCATTCAACTGCAGTAGACCGGTGCTTGAGCTTTGTTCTTAGTGTACCATCTCACGGGGTTCCCCAGGACCTGGCCGTCGCCACGCCTCCTTCGCGTCGTCTGCTAGCTATGGCGCTTACGTCAGCAGGTGGGGTTGGGTTGGGTGGGGAGGGGCGCGGGCGCATACACACGTTGCACCTGGGATGCCGATGAAAAGGGAATTCAATTATACCTGCCACCGTCCTTTTAAACGCCCCCCAGCCGCCGGAGGTCGTTTACCTGGAGCGCTGCACCTGCCCGGCGCCCCCGCCGCCTGGCCGCATTTTGGGATGAATGGGGAATGATTGAATGGATGGGCAGGGGAGTGTGGCTGGCTGCACGTCATTTGGGGACACTCTTGAGCAAACGTTTTCGCTTCATCACAGTGCGATCTACCCTAAAGAATATTCTGTCATTTTTGGGGATTACATTTTGCCTCAATAGAGACGACCAACCGGGCAACCGCTGTGGTGTCCGACTGTCCGACCATCTGACACCGCCGGCGGCTCCTATACCCGTGTTAGCATGCGTGGGCGGTGACTATATGGTGTTGTGAATCCCCCTGCTCTGGGGTACATAATGCGTGTGAGTGAGTGTTTACTCGTGACACAATGAACCCCCCTTGGTTTGGCCCTGTGTTATTCTTTCGGCCGGCTTTTGGTCTGTTTGAACCGGTTGTGTGTGTGTCCGTCTGTTTCCACGTTTGTTTTCCGTTGCTATGCGTGCGCTGCGGCGGTGCATGCGGCAGGATGCAGCCCCCCCCCACCCCCTCTCACCTATGAGTGCGACAGAGAAAGCACACTGCCGTGAAACAAACGCGCCTTGCTGCAAAAGGCAACCGACAGGAAAGAAATGGCATGTCTCGCGGAAATAACAAATGCAGATTGGAAAGGGAAAGAGCGGCGGAGGGGAAAACGGGGGAGGGGCACTTCGACCGATCGATGCGTAATTCGAGATAAGCGAGCGGCACTTGGATGCGTTTTTGCCGAAAACTCAAGTGGGGTTGCAGTGCGCGTCGCGCCGACCCCGCCAACTATACACTCTGAAAATGTAAGTATTTGCATCTTGGAAGAAAACTACCTGGGACAGGGACAGGGGTTGTGTGGGTGGGTGGGGCCGGCCCGGGACGATGTGCAGAACTTCCTCCCTTCCATCTGTAATGGCATTGCCTTGTTCGCGGGTGCGGCCTGCTGCCTGGCTGCCCTGCACGCCTCTTATCTCCCGCCGCTTCTGACTGGACTGTACCTGGACTAGACGTGGCCTTATCTCTACCCGGCGAGGATGGCAGGAGGACGCGGCGGCGGCGGTACAGTCCCGCTCGGTGCGCGGTTTGGTGCTCCGAGGGAGCAAGGCTGCGCCGGCACTGGCTATTTCGGGCGCCCCGCTGCGCTGCGGGCTTGGAGGAGATGCGGGCACGGCGGCCCCCTTCCGGCCGCGGGGCGTCCATCTCTCTCGAGAGCGCGGCTGCGGTGCGCCGGCCCTGGCCGACCCTGGCCGACCCGCTGTGCCCAATCAGTGGAGCCATCTATTTGGTCCAGCTCCGGCCGGCTCGGTCCTGCCTTCGGCCCTAGCGGATGCTGCGGGGGTCAGATCGAGATGGAGCGGAGTGGTTTTCACGAAGAGAAAGAGAAGCGAGGGAGGCCGCGCGGCCCCGGAAAGTGCAGTGCTGTGGTGACCCGACCCGTCGCGCTGCTGGACCTCGTGGAGTGAAGCAGTCGGGCTCCAAGTGGAGGAGAGAGAAGGGTTCACTTTACTTGGGCGAGCGAACAGAGTGATGTGTTTTTATGACTCGGCCCGCTCCTATTTTAAGCGGTGTGGGAGTGAGGCGGCGGGTGGTGCGCTGCACGTAGAATGGACTGAGTGGACAGAGCTGCTGGGTGACCGCGACCGCCGTGGGTCCTGAAATAGCAGCCCGCCACGCCGCGCCGCCCAGGAGTGCGTGCGCGCGCGTGCGCGTGTGTTGTGGCTCTTGTTGCACGCCGGCCGGCGCGCGCCTCGGCTCGCAGGGGGATGGGCAAAATGTCAAGATAAAAGTGAAAGGGCCCGTGTCGTGGTGGAAGGGCGCGCGAGCGCGAGGGGGGGTTGTCTCCCCCCCCCCCCC